AGGTCTTCCATCTCCTTCGGGGTCAGCAGCGCACCCCTGCGACACACGGTCAGACCCCAGCGGTGCATACGCCATACCAAATTTACACTCACTTGACCTTCTTCCCGCTCAGCCTGTTCTTCATCACTGCGACAGTCAGGCCCTCCGGCAAGGGCGGGGGCGTGTATTTCCCGCCGTCCTCGGTGGTCGTCGTCTTCATGTTTAGCGTCTGAGCGATCGACGGGGTGAACGGTGCAGGGAGCGGGTTTTCCGAGCCACCCGCCGGTGCTACGTCGTCCGCCTTCTTCTTGCCTTTCCCCTGTGGGGCCGAGGCAGGCTCGACGGAGGCATCGGGCGCCGGTAATATGGAAGACGCGTCGGGCGTAGCGGCCCTCGGCATCGTCGCCGCACCCTCGCCCTCGGCGCCCATGGGCAGGCCCATCGAGTTCCCCGCGACCGCGGCCTGAGTCTCATCCTCCTTTGACAGCTTGTCCTTCCGGAGAGATACCGGGTGTGTTGAGGGCGAGTGCAGGGAAACGAACCAGCGCAACATGCCCTTTTGCACGCCCAGGTCCCCTGAATCGATATAGACGAGCGTCAAAATGCGAAACTTCATCATACAGCGAGAAGACTTGCCGACAGGAAGGATGTCCGGCCGCCGCAGCGAGAACATCGCGAACATGTCGACTGTGGCACGGGTGAGCGACATCCCCGATGAGTGTCGGTTCAGACTTACCGGTCCACTGCGACATGAAGGGACACTTCGTAAGAGACCGGACATCGCTTCGTGGATAGCACAACACTCACTCTCCCGATGCCGCGTACTTCTATCAACATCTTGTACAGCTCCTCGTCGTCGGCAAGAAGCAACTTCCTCGTCGACAAGCGGCCGTCCGCAAAGCGTCCAGCAAGGTCCAGGACTGCCAAATGCGTTCAGATAGTCGGTTCTTGCCACTTTGATCATGCACTGACCATATTCTGCCTTCCGGCCGCTAAGTCCGGCGCTGCGCAAAGTCGCGATATCCTTGGTGATAACTTGATGTGCGGATGGGAAGAAGTTAGACCTTCCGAGTCATGCAAGGATCAGCGCCTGGCTAGGTTATCCCGAGACGATGGGCTTACTTCGAGTCCGCAATACTTTCGGGAAGGGATGGATCGAATAGGCGCACAAATTTGTGCGTTATGGATGCCGCAGCTTTCCATGATATCTGCTGTCCCCTGTTGTGTTTGACGTCGGTAAGCAGCGTATCCGCAAACCCGGAAGCAGTCTCGTCACCAGACAACGTAAGGATTTGCACCATCTGAGGCGTTGGACTGTGCAGAATAAGAGAAAAGGAGGGGACCCCTCTCCAGAATTTCTGCCCTGCTCCGTTTTGGAAGGATCTTCCATATAGCGGCTGGTGACGAGACTGGTGCGGACTCCGGACAACCAAAAACTCCCTGGGAACTTACAAGATGGAGTGTGCAAGCGTGCTATCGTATCGCACCCTGCTCAGCGTAGATCTATGTCAGGAAGACACGTGCATACCGGAAGGGATCGACGCGTTCGAGATGCTCAAACGGTCTGCACTTGACTCTTCGAAACACATCTTCGAAGCGCGGATCCACACGAACGAGGTGCCGCCTTGCCTCTTCAAAGGAGAAGGTGAGCACGGCTGGAACGAGCTCTTCGCCCTCCGCGTTGGGAATTGGGGTGGGCACGGCGGTATTGGGCGCTGCCGGTGACGTCTTTACGCCTGAGGCAGTGGGTGCCGCAGCCTTCGTCTTCGCCTTCGTAGCGCGGGGCTTCTTCTGAGCGGGCTCTGCTTCTGCGTCGGGGCTCTTCTGACTCCTCTTCCTACTTGAGGCAGCGGCCTTCGTTTGTGCTGCGGCGGTGGTTTGTTGCGCAGCCTCCGGCGTAGCACCGGTGTTTCGCGTTGCTGACCTTGTCAAAGCCATGCTGAATGTCCTGGATGTTGCTGGTCGCGTCAAATGTCGAGCGACGACGTGTGTAAGAGCAAACTGCATGCACTGACCGTCGACAACGACGGTGGTTTATCGACAACGACCAGGATGACTGTGCGGGGGCGGAGCCGTTCCCAGCTGGGAGAGCGTGGGAGGCGCGCTAGCGGGGGGCGCGGGTGGCGCGTAATTACGCGTTGCGCGCCTCGTCACGTGCCATGCGCGAACGCGCCACGGCTGTGCCTGGCCCGTCCAAAGGGGCCTCTCAAGGACTCCCCGCGCCCGCAGCTCCCCTCTCACCTCGGCAGCCGATCGCATGACGTCAGAACAGGAACCGTTTGTGCTTTCCTCCCTCCTCGACTTTAGCGGCTTGCCAGCTTCCTCCGCCGTCTTCATCCCACTCTCCGCGACAGCTCAGACCATGTCTCACCCTAGCCAGCACTCGCAGCCCGGCGAAAGCGGCCTCTCTCGGCGCTCGTCAACACCACTCGCGCATGCTTTTCGCGTCTCTCTCTGTCTCTCGACCGCGCTGGCTTCAATGAACGACCCGCGCTCCGTTCTCGTTTTCCGCGCTCTGGCGTCTTCGTATCGGCCCTCCCGCAGTGCTCGCCCTCGCTCTCCCCGCGTTTCCCGTCCTCCCTCCCACACGCCTGGCATATCCCCAAAGTGCATATATCGACGGCGCCGACGTCCCCGTGCACGTAGGCACCCAAATACCCGTCGCAAACGCGCATATACGTCCGAAAGTGTGCATTTCTTCCATTCTGCCAGTCTACTCTACTCACGTCATCTGCGGTCTACAGACAGTCTCCCGATTTTCGACGAAATACAGTCGTCCCGTGTGCGCCCCCTCGCGGGATCCTATCAGCGCGGACGGGGAACCCTCTACGCACACATGGGCACCCTTTGCGTGTCTGGCAATCGCCTCGCGCGCTCTGTACGAGCGGAACAAGATGCGCATTTTGCAAGAAACGCGTATCGTACTCGAACGGTTCGTTCCACACACCCCGCGTCGAGTTTTCCATGATCACAAGGTATCAGTCCATCACGTCCATCAGTTTGCGCGGCCCCGCGTGCGGAATTGCGAAATTTCGTCATGGACCCCACCTCCGAATTCCTGCATGCCTCGCTCAATTTTCAATAGAACCTCTTTGTAGCGCTAATCCTGTCTCTCCATAGGTACCCCTCACGTATCGCTCACGTTTAGAAGCCCCCGTGCCTCCCTGGCGGACGCCGTCGACGCTGAGCAAACACGCTTGCCCAGCGATGCATTAGGCGCCCATGCGCCGCCTCAAGCTCGAATGTCAAAGGTCGCGGAAACGTCGAGTTACGGTATGTACACATACCTCGCGCTCAACGCGTCCCTGTGCGCTTGGAATCGGCTCGAACGGTGACATTCCGCAGCCTCGACGCGTCGATTGCTTTCGGGGATGGCTTCACTACCTTTTCCTTCGCCCTCTCCGCTATCTTTCACGAAACCCGCTAATATTATTCGCACAGCTTCTATTCTATGCAGCTCAACATATAGTTTTGTATTCAAATACGCCGTCCCCGCGTGGAAGACGTTACGCTCGATACGAACTGCGCTCGCCCGCCACCAGAATAGGCGCCCAAATCATGGACGTCTCGGTCGCAGGTGCGGCTCGTTGCTCACATTTCGACTTCCTCTATCGCGAATTTTAGCGGCACCCACGGGTACATTCAGTGCAGTACACGGGATCTTCCACGTCTGACGCCGCGACGTTCGTCCAAACGGCCTCGAGCGGCTGCGCCGCGTGCGCGCCATACAGAATGGGCCTCTCGCCCACGCGAGATGCACTGCGCGTGGCGGCCTGGAAATCGTCTGTAAGTGTATATTCGGATCTGTATATACTCTGACTCGCGCACGAGCGAGGAATCGAGCACGAGTACGGGCGCTGTCGTGTGCATGCGCGGCCGCCTCGGCCTGGGCATGCGCACTCGACGCGCGTCTGCACACTCGACGCCCGCAGTCTGCGCCTCTCCTTTCTCGTTCCGGAACGGGCGCTCACGGCTGCCGACACTACGCGCTCACAGCATCTCCGAGAAGCGAGCTCAGCGTCCCCAGCCTCGTCGTCGCCGCGCCGCCCGCGTCTTCGACAATGGCTCTGAACACTGGGCCCCCGCCCCGCAGACCCGCGAACGCGCCCCGTCCGCGCGCGGAGCGCTCTCTCAGGACGTCCCCCACACTCTCACAACACGGCGACTAGAGCAGGCGGCGTCCGTCGCTCGCACGCAGGCTCGAGAACTCGGCGTACGAGGCGGCTGCGCATACACCGTCATGACATCGGGACTCGACGAGCCACGACGCGAGATGCACGGACGTCCGAGCACGCGCACGCGATGTGTGCAGGGCAGGGACGTCGTCGCGCTCGGGCGCACCGGTGTGCGCGTGGTGCACTTACGGCACGGCACGTCTCCGCACCTCGGCTCCGCCAACCTTCGCCGCCCTTCAGGCAGTCCTGGTTCCGTCCCGGGGCTGCACACCCCCGCCCGCGGCCCGCAGACGCGCAGATAGCGACGAGTCTCCACGCCGCCGCACGAGCCCACGTCCCGCAACGGATGCAAGACAGCGGACCGCGCGGCGGCGCGACGATTCGACGTTGTCCGCGACGACTGCGAGCGCGGGCGCCAGCCCCGGGAACGTTCGCGCCGCACCCACAACCACCCACCTGGCGCCCCGTCTCGTGCAATTCGGCCCCGACGAGGACGTGCGAAGACGGTGTTCCTGGGCGGCTGGAGGCTCGCGGCGTTCTCCGGAACGCGCGCAGCCAGAAGAAGGGCGGATGCGAACGCGTCCGTGAGAGGTGCAGCGGGGCGGGGCGCGCGTTGGCGCTCCCCACGTGTCTCTGGCGGGAGGGCTCTTACCTGGGGCAGGAACGTGCTCGACGGCATCGGCTGCATCCCAGCCCAGCCCTCCACGTCTCCCGCACGTCGTCCCCTCTCCACACCGCTGTGCTATGTGGTACATGGACGACTACGTAACTACTGCCCCCGCCCTTCCCGCCTCACAAAGTACGCCGCGCATCTGGCCGCGCGGGGAGTACTGCAGATGATGTAGGTCAGGCGATGATGTTTGCGGCGAGGAAGTCGAGGGTGCGTACCGTCTTGCGCGTGATGCGCTGCGTGCGAACTCCTTTCTGCAGCTCGTGTCTACGGGGACTGCGTACGGTGAGAACGAGGCTGCGTTCGGGCGAGGACTCACAGCAAGTATCCGGGCGCGTTGGCGCGTCGAGGGCTGGTTCCGCGGCGGGCCCGATCGACGCGAACCTACTGGAACACATTAGTAGAGCGTCACGCGCGAAGAGGACTCACCACACGTAGTATTCCGCCTCGTTCGCGCGTAGAGGATACTGGGGCACGGCGGGCTAGACAGAATCAAGTTAGCAGTGTTTGCAGCACGAACGGAGGGTGCGAGGTACGTATGCGTTCACGATGTGCGCCCGCCGAGATGCTTCGAATCTGATCACTGTGAGCAAGATTCGGCAGTGATGCTGCGCGCACTCACTGAGCATGCAGGCGAGTCGTCGAGCACACGTTGTTCCAACTCACCTGGATGTGTGCACAGAGCTGGACGCGATCGTCAACGCAGGTAGAAGTAGGACTCGGATGGCAGACGTACCACGAGTGCGATGCGACGAGCCCTGCGCGTGTGTGTCGGAGCTGCGAGACGACATGCGCCGCGTCCACGGCATACGTCTACGGCCGACGTGAGTGGGGAGCACGGGGATAGGCGGGCGACGTACCTGACGGCGGCGATGTAAGCTGGAGGGCGGAGGAAGGAGGTGAGTGGCACGCACACCAGTCCTCGATGTACTATACTTATTCGTTCATACCCTCCGATGTCCATCGCTAGCGAGCAACGGAGCGGACATACGCCGGCGATGCCCGTGTGCACCATCCGGCATACGAGCACGGAAACGAACACACGGCCGCTACGTGGGCGTCCGATGTGGGCACGCACACTCCGGGACCCAATCAACGAACATCCAGGACACATGCCCGTCGCTCGGGATCGAGTCTAATCGACGGGGAACTCGGAGGGCCTCGTCCTGCACCAACCAGCGCACGACGCGCGTCGACGGAGGTCTAGACGAGGGTCGGCCATACGTACACTTGACGTGCGAAACGCACGCCGCGTTCGCGATCTCCTCCCATTCGGCTCGGTCAATGGGCGATGTGCGTTTGTAGGACGCAGGACGAGGTGCGTGCGCTGTGCTCGTGCGGCAATGCGTCCGAGTGCAGTGCGCAGACATGCTCCTCGCGCAGGTGCTTGTCCTGCGCACAGCGAGTCCGCACTCGCCGTGCAATGAGAATGGACTCATGCTCCGAGCAGAACGAGTATACGCACACATGGTCCGAGTCAATACCTAGCCGATGGCAGTCATCGAAGCTCGAGGGCTCGACATCAAGCGTTAACGTAAGTGGGCATGGCCGGCGGAGTGATTGTTCGGGAGCAGGGCTTTGTGTCACGATGGACTGGGGCATGTATTTACTATACTTACGGACGACGAATGCAATACATATTTTGAGCTCGAACGGGACGCCGAAACCGGCCGAAACCGAGGCCACAAGGCGGATCTAGCGAAGGGCGAGTGCACCGTCAAGACGTCTAGCTCGTCGTCGAGTACGAGACCAATATGTAGTATAATTTCAGATGGTGGAGCAGGTCTGTGAGCCGGGAAACCAGTAGGCGCGAAGTATTCTCGCAAAGAGAGGCGCACATCGGTGTTACATACTTTGCACAAGCTCGCATTGCTTATTCCGATTGCGGGCGAAGGCATGCAGCCGTGTTCAGCGCCGGAGCATGCGAAAGACAAGTGTCCCGGGATAAGAAATATATTTCCAGCTCTCAGGAGATGTACAGGATGCTCGGAAGCTGCTAGCTACTAGATCTGCATATGGAAGATCACACTGATAGCCTGGCCATCTCCTAGTTGTGCCCCAGGAATTCGGATACCGACAGACATATTTCGAAAGCTGTCCTGACGTTGTGCAACATTTGCATGTGAGCCAATCATGAGAATGAGAAATATGAATCAAAACGCTCACCTCGACGGGATCCCGCCCGAACACGCCCACGAATATCGAAGGCGCCGGCACGTCTCGGCCTCGCCAAGCTGGGGAATCCAGGGTTAAGCCATGACATACCTCCGCCGATGGCATGCTGCACGGCGTCCGCGCATCTGCGCTACTAGTAATACTTCGCCTCCGGGGAGCCCGACCCTCCACACTCTCCCCCTCCCACCGCCTTTCGTTGAATCTCCTCCCGAAGACGCGCCCCCATCCCCTGCCCCTCGACGCGTAGTCGACACTGGTGTTCGCGCCAACGTCCACGCCGCCTGCCGCCTTGTGACGCGACCGGACCATGCATGTGGACACTCTGAACGCGATATGCACGACGTGGGCCCGGGGTAAGTGCCTTAGAGTCTCCCGAGCGATACAGAACTGGCGCTGACCGGCTCTGACACGTCGTCGACGTCCCGCATCGACGTCGCGACGTTCGCGACGAGGACGCATTGAGCACGACTAAAAGAACGCGTTTGAGCCCTGTCCAGAGTCAACGCGTTCACCAACGGCTCGTGAGTATTTCCTCGTACACGACACGGCATATGACACTCACCACGATGCTTGAAATGGCCTCTCTCGCACGCCGGCGCGTCCTGGGCGCAGACGGCTCGGAGAGCACAGAGCGTCGAATGAGTGCGTACCCTATCTACATTCGTGCATCAGGGCCGCCTACTCACATCGTTCCGGATGCTCACCGATGCTCCGATACTCCTTGGGCCTCGAAAATCATGGCGCAGCAGCAGAACATGGCTCAAATGGGCTCTTGCAGCCTTCCTGCTGCCGCGAGCTCGAGCAGGGGACACTGGACACCGATGTCCGAGTCTTACCCACCGATCCAGGCTTGGTGGACGCCCGCAACGCGTTCTGCTCTTGTTTCTGGATGGCCGGCACAGGGAGGGCGCGTAGGAGCTGAACCCGGCGGTCTGGGCGCGAAGCAGTGAGTATACAAGTTCTTTAGACGTTGTCGAGACGTCCTGACCTTGTGTGCACTTTCCCAATGCTCGGGATAACCTGCCGCGAGTGCTGCAAAGGCAACTGCATTGGCAGTCGCGGTGTCATCGTAAGCGTATCGTCCCTGGCCCCGGCGTCACAGCGAGCTACGAGCCGCTCGCGCCCGAGTCTCACGGCCTTTGCGTAAGGCGTCGGAGGCGCCGCGCTTCTCGATTCCGTCGCGCTGGAGAGCCGTGCTTCTGGGTGCAGGCCGCGAAGACTATGATACGGTCAGTATACCAAGCTCGACTTTGCAAAGCACGTCCGCGACCTACCTCTTTGCTCGAGGAACGCATGCAGCACATCGTGGCGCCTGCTGCAAGCTCTCTCACACTTCTTCCTCCACGATAGAACGTCTAGCAGTCCGCGACGCGCGCGGCCTTTGTTGTACGGGTGCTTACACGCGCAGGGCCTTCGGATGAGTCTCGGACGGCGGAAGTAGTGTGCTCGTGGCGAGGGGGCTCGTTGCAGCTAGGAACGAGAGCCAGGTGAGCATGTACATGTTGTCGCGTTTGAACATACCGTATCTGTCATCTGAGGGGCGCAAGACGCCAGCGTTAGATGCGGAGCCTCGGCGAAGCGCACCGCGGGCCCGTGAGATTGCAGCGTATTCTACGTCGTCTGAGGTTGGCGAGCTCGCCGTCCCGGAGGCTGCCACTTGATCTCAAGGGCCCTGTCGTAAGGTGGCGAATACGCAACTCGAATCGTGATTGTAGCGCAGAGCGTACCTCGTTTTCAACGCGCCGCGCGGGCGCGTTACTTGCGCGCGCATCGGGGACGTTCATGGCGAGGCCAGACACATGGCAATTCGTCGCAATGGCTGTCGACGAGGCGGCTGCCGATGCCCCGAGCCTGCGGAGATGCGCACCCTGCTCCCGCGCTCTCAGAGCAAACTGCGGCCGGCGAGGCTCACAGGCGGCCTTCCCTGGAAGCAGGTGAGTAAAGTCGTGAAGTCGCAGGCCTGCGACAACTTACTTTAGCGTCCCGTGGGTGATGCACTCTCTGCAGGTACGTTTTCAGTCGCTTCGCGGTATCGATGCACTCATCCGCGGCCGGCACCCCTCGTCGACCGCGGAAACGTCGATTTGTCGACTCTGCAGCTCGCGGGGACGCGTTGATGGCGCTGCCGAGACGGCGGTGAGTGTATTTATCGTGCTTGTCCACGTGGAGTGAGATGACTCCCTGCAGACGGTCTACGAGCGCGCGAGGACGAAAGGCCGCGCGCACACCGCATTTGGCGACCGCCGCGCAAGGCGCGATTGTAGGCGAGGCTGGGAAGGTCGAATCTCGGTCTCGCAAAGTCCGTACGAGTTCACGAGGCACGCGTGCTCGACGTGTCTGCCTGCGGTGCGAACCGGCTGCAAACGACGTAGGAGTGTCTCCCGGGGTACGACATCCGTACCCGGGTGGCTGGCAGACGTCGCCGCGTGCGTCCCGACGGAAGAGACGACTTTGCGGGCCTGTCACGAGGGTATGAGCGGGTAGTCCACCCGCTTTTCGACCGCACTTTGCAGCGCTTTTGCGAGCTCCGCACGACTCCAGTTCCAGTCTCGTCTCTCGTCTATCTGGTACCGTACGAGCTGGGTGGGAGGCAGGACCATCGTTGCAAACGCAGCGGACGGGAGGCGAGAGGAAAGCGGCCGGCGCGGGCTGACTTGAGGACGGCATGCGAGGGCCTGCGAGGGCGTAGCTCGGCGAGTAGACACGAATGGTTCTGTACGCAGCTAGCCCAGAACGTGAGCTTCAAAATGCGTCGATGTGCGGGTGTGCACCCACCTCCTGTCCCCGTTCTCCCGGCTCGTTCTCCCCGCGCCCTCCTGCACTGCTAGCGCGAGCCCTACGTGCCAATACAGCCCTACCACCCTCCCATAGTCATTCTTTATTTCCCCAGCCTCGCGCAGATCCTCCCCACCGATCAGGCACCCGTGAGCCCGCCCCGCCGCCGCCGCCGCCGCCGTCTCCCGGTCGCCCCTGTGCCGCGCCCACACGCGCCCACATCCGCGCACGCGCGAGCCACCGCCCCGCCCCTTCGCGCGAGACCGCCGTCCAAATGCCAGCGTCGACGACAGTTCGAGTCGCTGAGCGCCGCGCCGAGCGTCCGAGACCAGCATTACTTCGGCTCCTCCGCCAGGGCCCACATGTAATATACGCCTTCAGGAAAGGTCAGCGTTTCTGCGACGCGCGGGGCAATGACGACAGTGGCTTACCGAGGCTGCGATATGGCTGCCAGCATTCCGCGAGGTCTTCCATCTCCTTCGGGGTCAGCAGTGCACCCCTGCGACACACGGTCAGAGCCGGCGGCGTATACGCCATACCAAATTTACACTCACTTAACCTTCTTCCCGCTCAGTCTGTTCTTCATCACTGCGACAGTCAGGCCCTCCGGCAAGGGCGGGGCGTATACTTCCCGCCGTCTTCGGTCGTCGTCGTCTTCATGTTTAGTGTCTGAGCGATCGACGGGGTGAACGGCGCAGGGAGCGGGTTT